TTTTCTCCATTTTTTGCTTCTGGGTTTTCTACTTTCAAGCACTTTAATCCGCGATTTCATATCGATTCTTCATTTTCTCCATTTTTTGGTTCTGGGTTTTCAATTATGGTGCTCAAATCAAGATTTCTGATTCAATTTTTGCATCTGGGGCGCTGCAGTTGAAGAACTCGGCAGCGAGAGGGAAGCTGATCAAGATCAGGGCTTCGTACAAGCTCTTCAAGGCAAGCAAGATGGAGAAATGTGCACAAACAAAATCAAAAGGACCTCATTTGTGGATTATTCTGTCAATTTATTTTCCCTTTTATTCATTTTATTAACAAATTTTTTCTTAAAACTAATATGGAAATTGTTTTTGATAAAAAATAATAACAGTACGATTTATATGGTACAGTACCAAACAGAGTATTAAAGAATTGATCCGATACTGCACCAAACGCCTGACTAATTTAGTCAGTCCTATCCGGTAGCTATTTATCCTATCCGATTGAAATAGTCAGTACAGTCCGAGCTGACAAACGAGGCCTAAGTTTACGTTCTTTCTGTTTGCATGCTACATCTTATACCAACGTCTTGTCAAATCTGCCAAATAAAGAGCTGCCTCGCCAACTTATGAAATTCACTTTCAACAGTAACCAATCTGTTGATATCACAACCGTTGAAAGACAAAGGATAATTCACTTTAATTTCAGTGTGATATACACATATCTTATTTTATTTTTCATATATATTTTTAATTTTTAACCTTCGAATCAGATAAATTAAAGAAGATTAATAAATAAAAATTATCAAAAATGTATAAAAAGTAAAATAAAATGTATAGATAATGCATATCTAATTTCAGAACCCGGGCCCGATGAAAGTGTTAACTTTTTTAAAGGTTGAATGGATGCTGGTTGGAATCATATACGTGTCAAAAGTATATTGGGCCGGCATATAAAGAGAACTTAAAAGCGGACAAAATGAGAGAAGTAGTATGGTGTGTCACCAGAACATTCACAGTGCATAATGGGATGGTGGAACTGCACGTTCCATACAACACATGGGCTCATTGGAATACAAATTAGAAAATGTACTTTAACCGGTCGAAGTGTTACTAGAAAAAAAAAAAAAAAAATATACGTCGCGTTTGATACAAAAGATTTGATAAAAAGGGTTAAGTTACTATTTTAAGGTATGTTAGAAGGAGAAATGAATTTTTTTATAGCTAATTTGGAGGTAAGAAATGTATTAATCAAGGTTATATGTTTGATTTTCATTGAATGTAAATCAACTATAAATAGTCCTACAATTGAAATAGGAATGTGATATTAGGGTTTAATACTAGGATTGTATGACATCTCATTATATTAGCTTTATACAAGAATGCTCTTTTAAAGTTCTCATTTTGAAGACCTGTGAGATTCTCTTTTATCTGAGCTATTAGATTGATCTAAGGGTAGATTAACCTATAAGCTTAACTTATCATTGTTTTACCTTAACAAACTATATGCAGCAAATGAATTAAATTAACAAAAATTTTAAAAATAATCTCTTCCACCAGGATTGCAATTCGTCTCGTCTTCTTCCCAAGCCCTCTCTCCCCTCTGCAATCCTCCTAAAATTTGAATTCTCCTTCAAGATTTGTAATCAAATCGTGCCCTAATGGCTTTGTAATCATAAGGAGGAGAGGATGATGCACATCAACTCAGCACAATCCTTTTGGCTATTTGAATTAGATCAAACAAGCACAAACGTGGTGGTGGCCACTGTTTGATGTGAATTCACTGCAAGGTGGATGGCAAAATACGGGATTGTCTCCAATAAACTTAGGGCTTTTAATAATATCTGCAAGGCCACTTGTTTGGACCCGTCGGCAATGGCAGTTGGAAATCTGAAACATGTGAGAAATCTGGGGAAAGACCTCTCTGCCAACTGGAAGGAATTTTCACCCGTGAACTTTTTTTTTGTTCTTTATTTAATCTATTTGATATATTGTAATGGTATAACAAACGTTAATTCATCTTAGATCAATCTAATGGCTCATATAAAAGAGGACCTTGCAGGTCCTCAAAATGAGAACCTTAGGAGAGCATGTTCTCTTAAGGTCTTCTTTTTTGGGACATGTGAGGATCTCTATTATACGAGTCATAGGATAAATGTAACGGTGCAAAAACTGATGAGTTTATATAATCGTTTTACACTTAATCGCCATAAAAAATTAAACCATTTAATTTTCCTTACTCAACTCCATATTATTCTTCAATCTTTACCTTAAGTGGTGTACGTTCCATTGGTTCTAATTAGCGAGGCAGTAGGCGATTAGAATTCTTACTAATTGATTGTAAATTTTAACTTATTTTCAATTCTCCTTTTAGTGAAGATTAATGATCGCTTATTTTTAAGACTTCCACAAACCATGAGTGACACCTATCAATATGTTATAGCTACCTAAGCTAAGCATAACAGGTGGAGAACTTATTTAGTTTGGGCAAAGTTGAATGTCATTCCACATGAGTAGTCTTATGTTGATGTAGTGAACATGTGCCACAAATACCATGGTCAATTAAGCTTAACAATTTTGTGACTCTTTCTTCTTTTTCAAAGAAAAAAGATTCGAACATTTTGTTTTTATAAGTTTAACAAAAAGACAATGAATCCATACTTAGTGATCCAAAAAATCCATCTAAGGCCAACTTGTAACTTATGTATTCGAGGTGTTACATTTTAGTAGGGTTTGTCACTTCTTTGTAATCTTTTGGGTTTTAGGCATCATTGTATTTTAACTAAAATGAAAAAAATTATTCATGATCCATTTTAGAAATCTCCACAGAATTCCAAGCCATATTACACGTGTCATAAGATTAGCATTGACTATGGGACCATTTGGCAAAGAAACATTGCTTCTTTCTTTATTTCATAACAGAATTTTGAACAGAAGAATTTCTTTATTGATGATACACTAAAAAGAATCATCACGGGGATTCTTATACACAACCGAAAAGAGACTAGTCAAATACAATTTGGGGTGTGATAACCACACATCCCATTTTACTTCTCACATATCTTTTTAATTTTCGGAAGAATTGAAAAAGATCAAGAGACATAAATTATCAAGAGATGTGTGAGAAGTAAAATAAGGTACGTGGATAACACATCCCTACAATTTACCTGGGACCATCAAGAAAGACTAAAAAATGATTGGATCATCAACATAGTAATTAATTAAGTCTGTCGATGTCTTCACGGTAACTAAAAGAACAAGCCCACGACAAGAGCCGCGACCGACAAAGTGAAACTAGCCAAAACAGCAGGTGAAGAAGAATCCAGGGGAGGCTGAGACCCCGGGGTGATGTTCACAGTGGATTCACTTCCTATGCTACCTCCGACCACATGTACTTTCTGCCCTGCCACACTGTGCAAAAACACTGCCACAATCACCACCATGCTCTCCATCTCTGTGTCTTTCTACCGGAATGTGTTAATGTTGTAGGATATACCAAGAACTGAAGCCTACAAATAGAGAAGGCCAAAGCTCAAGAGTAAAGAAGGGGCAACAAATTAAAGACATGTTGGCATGGAGTTGGCATGGAGTCTTTGACGTATAGGCCCGGCCTCCTTGACGTGAAACGAACGAGTCTATCCCATCGTGATTGACTTTTTCTGACTGCTAGGTCAACATTTATGGGAAAAGGATCACACTTTTCAGATTTGAATATAAGAATTATTTTGTTTAATTCAAATAATAAAGTGATGAATTATGCTTTCATTTGAGTAATAGCTTGGAAATTACACATGGTTTGAATTCAGATAATAAGGTGATGAATTATGCTTTCATCAGTCTCACTAAATGTAGCCCCCTCTTAAGCCATATTCAATCAAAATGACTAAATATAGCATCGTCTAGAATTATAGCCCCATTAAAAAGTATTTTTTAATGAATAGTGTCATGCCATATTCATATACCATCTCCAACTGAATAAGTTAAACATAGCTCGTCAATAATTTATTGATTATAAGTTTACTCTCTGAATTTATTGATTAATTTAATTAAACTACTACTTATACCATATTAAAATAAAATCCAAATGTTACTTTTGAGTGCTACGTGAATGACAACTTCTGTTTTTTTTTTTTTTTTTGGTCAAATAATTGGTTTTGTTATATTAGATGTTAGATTAACCACCAACAAGGTTTAAACCTACACCGTTATGCAATGACTCAACACCTTTCCACCACTATAGTAAATGACCACTAGTGAAGGACAACTTCTTTCACTAGAAGACACTTGAAAAGATTGTTCACAAGAATTTCAACAATTTATCAAGAATAATAAAAAGGGTAAAGTACAAAAAATTACCTCAACTATTGGTGTCACGACATTTTCATACCTCATCTTTTAAAATTGACAATGTCATACCTCATCTTACGAATTTGTGTCAATGTCAGACCTCCGTCAGTTTTTCTGTTAATTTTTCTGCTAAATGCTAACGTGGCTTAAGATGGGCTCCACTCCTTAGACCAACTGAATTAAAAAATTAATAAAATACTAAGAAATTAACTAATATTTTTATCCCCTACAAATTCATCACCCTCACCAAATTTAAATCTGTAACCAAACAGCCCCACAATCCTCCTCTTCCGCCATCGCCACAACCCCAAACTCTCTTTCCGTATAGTTACATCACATCGACGCCATGATGCTTAACGAAACCCCCACCCAACTCTTCCACCTCCGCCTCCAGCGTGACACCTTCCGTGTCGATCATGTGCTCTTTTTGTGCATGTATGTTATGGATACGAAATTGAGAGGACAGACGTTCACAAAAAAGTTCTAAGAGTTACATGTGCCATAAGATTAGCATTGACTATAGGACCATTTGGCAGAAAAACATTCCTTCTTTCTTCATTGCAAAACAGAATGTTTAACAAACGAATTCCTTTATTGATAGTATACTAAAAAAAATCACCCTGTACGGGTTCGTTATACGAAACAGATACAAAATTATTTAGAGCAAAAGAGAGAGACTAAGATCAAATTCCATTTACTTTTGTACTATCAAGATAGACAATATCAAAAAGGTTGGATCACCGATATAGTAATTAATTAGGACTGTGGATGTCTTCATGATAACTAAAAGAGCAAACCCACGATAAGAGCCGCAGCCGACAAAGAGAAACTAGCCAAAACAGCAGGTGAAGAAGAGCCCAGCGGAGGCGGCGACCCCGGGGTGTTGTTCACGGTGGGTACTCCCCCATTCATGGATGGTGATGAAGCTGGGACTGGTGCGCAAGCGGCAGGGTCATTTGATGCAGGGGAAGGGGTAGTTGGAGGGGTTTTAGTGGTAGAGGGTGATGGTGGCACAGAAGGTGCTGCACCTGGGGAGGCAGCTGAGACGGTGATGGCTAGTTTCTGGCCCGACTGGCAATGACGGCCATAAGTGCAGATGTAGTAGTGGTCGCCTGAAGAGGTGAGAGTGATGTTTGCTGGGCCAGTTGTGATAGCCGTGCCAATTGGGTTTTCCGAACTGCATGAGTCGAATGATGCTTTGGGTACTTCTTGTACATCGTGTGCGTTGGTGGCGAAGTTGAAAGCTGGAGAAATAATTAAGAAACATCAAATGTGAGAAACATGAGTGATGGATAGTTTACCTTGGAATAATTTCATGGCTAGCGGAAATTAATTGAAACTTCATTTGATAATTATTGTCGATCATGTGCTTTTATTTTACGGAAATACTCGTGGATTCACTTCAAATATACTCTCTCTCTCTCTCTCTCTCTCTCTCTCTCTCTCTCTCTCTCTCTCTCTATATATATATATATATATATATATATATTATTAATGTGATCAGTAAATGTGGAGTCCTAACTGGGTTTGTCTAGCTGGTTCATTTGAAGAAGAGAGTGTTACACTAATGAGTTCACGAAGTTATTAGCTTAATAAGAAGACGATGGAAATCGGAAGAGAAGTGAATCTTACTGAGAGTATCACCAACAACAAACTTGTTACTTGCAGCCCAAGTGACATACTCTTGTGCACCAGATTGAGGGATGGTCCAACCTATGCTTCCTCCAACCACATGTCCCGTCTGTGCTGCAACATTTTGCAGGAACACAGCCACAACTACACAGAAAACAATCACCATCTTGCTCTCCATCTATCTAGCTCTGTTTCTCTCTATATCTCTCTAGGAAAATTGTGTAGTAGGCTGTGATTACTAAAGCAAATTGTTTTGTTTTAGGTAATCGCTGGTAAGAGTGTATGGCAAGGATACATGAATTGAAGCCTATAAATAGAGAAGTAGGGAAAGCTGAAGAGTGTAATGAAAACGCAAGACAGACTTGGTAGAGTCTTAGACGCGGCTGCCTTGAACAACAATGAGAAGATGCATGGGACGTCGGTCATCTTAACTTTGTTTTCTGGTGCATGTTTAGACTATTCTAGTCTATTATGTTGTACCGAGACCCAAAGTGGAAAGTTCCAACCTTCTTTCATATCATACTACATTTCATGAAAAGACTTGTTCTCTTTTTCTTTTTTCTGTTTAATGATGCTTGACTTTCTCTCATTAGTAGGTCAACATTAAGGGTTCTTAAAGTAACGTGACAAACTTGGGGGACACGCCTAAACTTCCAAATTCCAGGATTTTGGAAATTTCCTTGGTGTTGCAGTTTTGGTTTAAGTTTTCTTGTGTTTCTAGATAATATGAATGTACAAGGATACACATATATAAAAGAAAAGAAGGACTAGTTACATCCAACGGTCCTTAGACTGAACCTCTGAGACCAGCTATACTCTTTAATTAAAGAAGATTACACCAAACACTAGATATCAGCCATACTCCTTAATTGGATCCTTAATTGGAGGAAACCAACTACAAGACTAAGAAGAGATTTACACATAATCTGTCAGGAAAAACAGAAGGTGTCGTGCAGCCACACCCATGATTTCTAGAATTGCATAATCTGTCAAGGGTTGGTAACTCTCAATACTTGGCTTCAATTTTCACTTTTATGTAAAAAAAAATTTATTACGAAAGATCAATCTACAACAAATGAACAAGCTTTCTAATACAATGCTTCCCTTTTAACCAATTTCTACCGAGTTTTAAACTAACAATTTTGGCCCTCCACGCTCACTGAACAAACTAACAAACTTTCAACGACAGTTTGAAAAATAATTTGTTTGAATCATTGAAATACAATGTAGAATGTGAAGAAGTTGAGGTAAAATGAATAGGTGTATGGGAATATCCTAACTTGCTTATAAGCACATGCAAGGTCTATTTTTTCCGATGTGGGATTAACACCTCATGGGTGGCAAATTTTCAAGTCTAACACGTGAACAACACAAATCGGATGATCTGAAGCACGCCAGACTGTTGGGCTTTCTCACACATGACAATATACTCTGATATCATGAAAAAGTTAAACTTTCATCATAAAACTAATTAAATTTCTTCAAAATGTACCTATGCTCATCAAATAAGTTTTTTGACAGATCACTCAATAGAAAGGGATTCCATAACTAGGAAAACTTACTATTTCAATATTGTAATCTTCAAAAGCGCGGTGATTTTAATTTTTAACAACAATAAATTTGTTCGTGTTAACTCATCATTTTAACACCTCATATCCTGTCTTTCCATTCAGCTTACACGAAAAAAATTCAAACCCAAACAAGGCCCGTTAAAGTAGTAGGTGACATGGCCCAGCTCACGTCCAGCCAACTGAAAATGTAGCAGTAAAAAGATATCAAGAATTCGTCTACGAGTTTAATCTGGGAATTATATTTTGACAAGGAAGACATTAGACGTCTTTCTTTATCGATATATAAATGTCAATAAATGAATTCGTGTTTGATAATAATGTTTTGTACTATATATTTTAAGATGGTGGGGTGGTGGTGGAGATGATTGCAACAAGGGTGGTGCAAGTAGAAACAGTGGTGGTGGTAACAATAATGGAATATGAGTGATGATAGTAGCAGGGTGAGGATATGAATGGTGGCAGCTAAGGCTCACTGGAGGCAGCTACGCTAAGTGATAAAAAAAAAAAAAAAAAAAAAAAAAAAGAGGCTAAATAGCCAAAATGATTTCTGAAATTTGCATAACTCATCACTTTAGTCTCTGAAGATTGAAAATCAATAAAAATGATCCATGAGATTGTCCACCATCCATTATTTTGGTTCTTCTGTTAAAAACTCTTTGGGTAATTTTTAAAGCTTCGTAACTCAATTGTTTCTTAATCAAATTCGACCTATAATATATCAAAATGAAGATGGAAAAGTGTAGAACAAGATTATACCTATTTGAAAGCCCAATGGTTACTGGAGATGACCGGAAAATAGCCTCAAATGTGACTGGTCCGCTGGAAAACTCGCCGAAATTGGGTAAACTTTAAACGTTCATAACTTCTTCAATAATCAACGAAATTGAGTGATTCAAAAATAAAAATCATACTTCTCAACAACAAAAAGATAATGGTACCTTTATAGATGGCTAACTCACCGTGGTTTGGCCGAAAATGGCTAACTCGAAAATGGTTAACCATTTTCGAGCCATTTTCCGGTAAAAGCACGATGAATTAGCAGTCAAGAAAGGGATCATTCTCTTAGTCTCATCGAGAAGTATGAATTTCGTTTTTGAAGCACTCGATTTCATTGAGTATTGAAGAAGTTATGAACGTTTAAAATTTACCTAGTTTCCTGCGAGTTTTCCAGTGTTCTCACGGACCAGTCACTTTTGAGGCTATTTTACAGCCATCTACAGCAACCATTGGGCTTCTAAATAGGTATAATCTTATTCTACACTTTCCTATCTTCATTTTGATATATTATGAGTCGAATTTGGTTAAGAAACAATTGAGTTACGAAGCCTTAAAAATTGCCCAAAGAGTTTTTAACGGAAGGACCAAAATGATGGATGTAGACAATCTCAATGACCATTTCTATTGATTTTCAATCTCAGGAACCAAAGTGATGAATTATGCAAATCTCAGGGACCATTTTGACTATTTAGCTAAAAAATTATGATATTATAGAAGGTGCAATGCCAATAACATTTTTTTTAGTACATCGATATTTTTACATTAAGAGAAAAGGGGAGTTCGACAAAGCCCGAGATTCAAACCTAATACTTCTCATTTCCAAGTGAAGAAGATACCACCAGACCATAATACTGAGTGACATGCAAATAACATATTGATTATATTATTTATGCTCCTTTTAATGAAACACATATAAAAAGACATGTGGAGATTGAACCAGCCATAATTGCACTACTTTCAGTTTATATTCTGAAATAGCCCATCATTGTAAAAGCATTTCTCCAAGTTGTGAAGTTGTGGCTTAATGGAGTTTAAGGAAAAAGAAAAAGCAAATGAAATATATGGTGGTGGTGTGTATATGAACTTTCTTCTTTTCTTTTGAACAACAATATTATCTACACTAAGGGGATGGGGGAATGGGTTAAGCCTTACAATGGGCTAGCAATAATGTGGTTCAAATTCGCCTTTGGCGAGAATCGAACCTAAGACCTCTCACTTATCAATGAAGAGAAATACCACTAGACCGTAGTACAAAATGGCTATGGTGGTGGTGTATATGAACTTTCTTCTTCTTCTTTTTTTCTTCTTTTTTTAAACAATAACGTTTAATAACTAAGTATGTCTTGCTTGATGTTTTACTAAAACTAAATATTGTCTTTAGTTTTTTCCATTTGAGTTTGTTCTTAAAAACCAACATATCAAATGTTGAGAGTTGATGAAGTGAGGACAAAATGTCCCACATCTGTAGGATAGACCAATGCAAAGGCTTATAAGATGTTAGGCTACTCTTGATATTGTCAATTGGTTTATGGTAGAACACCGACTTTTTCATGGTATCAAAGCCAAGTTGTCCCTTGTGTGAAAGCTCAAGGGCAGCACGTGTTCACACATTACCCAATTTGTTGTCCACATTTAGGCTTAAAAATTGATCACATGTGAGGGGCCGTGTTGAGAGTTGATAATGTGAGGACAAAATGTCCCACACCGATGAGGTGTAGACCAAGTCAAGGGCTGATAAGATATTGAACTATTTTTCATATTGTCAATTAGTTTTATAGTGAAACCCTAATTTCTTCATCAAAGACATTTTACACTCGTTTTTTGTATTTTGTAAAATGAATGGTGGTAGTTGAGAAAATAGTGACATCAATAGCAGTTAAGATGATAGGTGTGACCATCATGGTAAGATTGGCGCTTGTGTAAATGAACTTTCTTCTTAAACAGTAATTTCGTTTAATAATTAAGTATACATGTCTTGCTTGATGTTTTATTAAAACCACCCCATTGTTTTATTTTTTCACCCACATTATAATTTCACCCTCTATAAAAAAAATATAAACTAAAACCTTATTTTCCCACTCACTATTATTCCTAAAATAACCTTCATCACAGCACCACACCTTCATTCTTTGTACCCCCAATTCCTCCCTGAACTTCCTGTAGCAGCCAAATGTGTTAATTGGTAGCCATGGTTGCAAGTCAAGAGGACAAAGTAGGGAAGAAAGAGTAGCATGTGAAGGACAACTAACCCTCTTCCCCTTTATCATCCCATCCCTCTTCTCCTTCCGCCGCTCTCTTTCTCCTCCTCTTCTCCTTGCCCTTCCTTCACCACCACAATCTCTCGTGCTTCCTCTAATCCTCTGCCTCTGTTTTCAACCCAAAATCCCCAATCTTGGTATTGAAATGATACAAGGGCAAAATCTCAGATGAGTTTCCTTTGAAATTTGGATGGTCATTAGTCTCTTGCCTTCTTCAGCAATAGGTAACTATTGCGGTTTAGGCTACAAGAAAGTTTTAGACCAACAACTTTTGGTTGTGGTTGTTCAAGCCGAGGGAGAGATGAAATGGAAGAGAGAGAAAACCATAGGGGGCGTACAGAGAGATGGTGGGGGGGTGGAGAAAAGGGGTAGGGTTTAAAAGGCTTTTTCTATAAGGATAAACATGTCACCAATATTTTCATTAAAATGTGGGTGAAAAAATAGGAAAATAGAGTGGATTTATCAGCTTATTTTATGAGTTTGTTCTTAAAACCAAGGTATCAAAGACATTTCACACTCGTTTTTTTTTTTTTTTTTATTTTTTTGGTATTTTGTATAATGATTTTTTATTTTATTTTAAACACCACACACAAGTTTAACGTTCAAAGTTCCAACATAGTGCATAACATTATTTTCAACTGCAAGAATTCCTTTATTGATAGTACACTCCAAAAAATCATCACGGTTCTGTTATACAAAACCGATACAAAAATAAAAAAGAGATTAAAATAAATAACCATTTACCCTGCCCTATCAAGAAAGAAAATATATTAAAAAAAAAAAGAAGAGAAATTAGTTTCTCATCCTTTTTTTTACTATTCTATTGATTAAAATCCTATTTATTTTCAATTTTTTATCAAAGTCCTTGGATATTAATAACATCATTAATTATTTCAATAATAAAATATTTTTTTATTTCTAAATATATTCATTTAATGTTAAAAATGTTACAATCAGTATTTTTATATTTATGACTAAATCTTTTATCATATATTTTTAGTTCGAGTTCGTACCCATTTTTAATTTGTAATTCTTTTTTAATTTGTACCAATTTTCTTTTCAGTTTTAATTTGTACCCATATATTAATTTCTTTTTGTGCCCATGTTTTTTAAAGTTTATTTGTATTTGTACCCATATATTTTTTTTTATTTGTACTTTTTATTTTGCTAAATGTACCCATGCTAATTATATGTACCCATTCATGTAAAACTTTTTAATCTTAAAATGTACTCAATCTTAAATATACCAATTTGTTATATGTAAAATGTACAATTTTTTTTATATAAAGCTATTCATTTTTTTTCTAATCCATTTTTAAACTTATATGGGTACAATATCCTTTTTTTTTTTTTTTTGTGATTTTGAAGAATGTACCCGTGTTTCGATACAATTAATTTTTTGGTTATTTTGATGAATGCACCTATGTTTATATATATGCACACACACAATAGTATATTTATATTTTAATATTTTTAATCCCACAAATTATGGTTTTTTTTAATTTAAAATCTCATTTATATAAACAACTAAAATTTCTAATTTTTAATTAAAAAATTATAGTAACGTACATAGAAATAAATTATCACATTTATTTCAGGGACCGTGATAAAAAATTAAAAACTAACAAGATTTCAATTAAAAAATATTTATAACTAAGTACCACATCCAAAGTCTTTCTAAAAAAAATATTGGATGACCAATATGGTAAGTAAGAATGCCAATGTCTCTTCGTACTGCGCCTAAAAGAATAAACCCACGACAAGAGCCAAGGAGGATAAAACGAAGCTAGCTAAAACAACATGTGAAGAAGAACCCAACGGAGGCAGCGACCCGGGGGTGGTGTTCACGGTGGGTACTGCACTCATGGAAGGTGATGGAGCTGGGACAGGTTCACAAGCAGCAGGGCCGTTTGATGTGGGGGAAGGGGTAGTTGGAGGGGTGTTAGTTGTAGAGGGCGGTGGCGGCACAGAAGGTGCGGCACCTGGGGAGGCAGCTGTTACTGTGATGGCAAGTTTCTGGCCCGACTGGCAATGGCGGCCATAAGTGCAGATGTAGTAGTGGTCGCCTGCGGAGGTGAGAGTGATGTTTGCTGGGCCAGTTGTGATGGCTGTGCCAATTGGGTTTTCGGAACTGCATGAGTCGAAAGATGCTTTGGGTACTTCTAGTACATCGTGCGCGTTGGTGGCGAAGTTGAAAACTGGAAAATTATTAAGAAACATCAAATGTGAGAAAACTTGAGTGATGGATAGTTACCTCGAACCAATCACAGTTGCACACTATTGAGTATCAACTGGTTGGTCCAGCTCGTTTATTTGAAGTTTGAATGTTACTCTAATGAGTTCATGAAGTTATTAATTTAATGAAGACGGAGATGGAAAATAGATGAGAAGAGAAAATACCCAGAGTATCACCAACTACGAACTTGTTACTTGCAGCCCAAGTGACATACTCTTGTGCACCAGATTGAGGGATGGTCCAACCTATGCTGTCTCCCACCACAAGTCCTGTCTGCGCTGCCGCAGTCTGCAAAAATACTGCAACTACAAAGCCAAAGACAATCACCATCTTGCTCTCCATCGACTAAATTTCTTTACTTCTACGAAAATTGTGTATTGTTGTTGTGGATGATCACTGATGAGAGTGTGTGGCAAGGATACTCGAATTGAAGCCTATAAATAGAGAAGGACAAGCTAACGAGTAAAGAAGAAGCTAGTTAGACTTGTTGTAGTCTACGCGGCTGCCTTGAGAAAGAACAATGAGAACATGCATATTGTGAAGGCGGTCATCTTTGCTTGTTTGCTTGGTCCATGTCGGTCTTCCGTGTGGAACATAGACACGAAGTGGAATGTTCCTACTTTTCTTTTTCTTTGTTTCTGTTTAATGATGCTTGACTCTCTCTAATTAGTAGGTCAACATTAAGGGTTCCTTTAAGTAATAAATCCTAATTAATTATTGGTTTGATGAATTCCACTTATGTACAGGGTATAATTCAACGTCACTAAAATTTTGGTGAACCGCCTAAACTTCAAAATTCCAAGATTTTAAAACTTTAATTCTTGGCTTAAACCCCGTTTTTTTTTTTTGGTAAGCTTAAAAGGTGCTTTATACATAAGTTAGAAGTAAAAAGTGTTTGATGAAAATAAAATATCATGCTTATTTTAAACACAATGACTTCCATACAACAGTTTTTAAAAGCAACATGTATTTGCATTTGAAAGTTGCTTTCATAAAAAGCAGAGCCAAACCGTTCTAGAATAAGCTTTGCGATTTGATTCCCCTTATCTCTTTATCACCTCACCATGACAATTTTTTACTTTGTCTTGTCTTTTTTGAAACTACACCAATGATTTGATTCTCCTTTTCACTCGGATTCAATCACGCCCTATTTGTCAACACCCATTTTTATTCAATGAAAGAGTTTTCAGAGCTACTCGCATATGCTACATGTTTGTTTGTTCTTCTCTTTCGCAGTGAATGGAATACCCTAAAATTCCTTGAATAACACACAACTTTGAAACTTCGCGTAGTCGCAAGTTTAAAATTCAAACTGATAATGTCACAGTGTCTCCTTTAGCCCACTATGTAGTGTTCGGTTAGCAGCTTAGGAGGCTCGAGTCATATTAAGTGCGGTTACGATTGGCGGGCTACAGGCACAGGGACATGACCCCTTGACTCAAACGTCCAATGCACCATCCGGCTTTCAGAAAGATTATACAACCTGAGGGTTGTGGGCTATAACATTCAACCTGGGCTCTACACCATTCGAGCGAATGATGGAAATGGCAATCGAGAATCATTCGAGGGATGGCTCTAAGTCCCAACCTTGAGTACAATTAATTTTATCTCGGACGACCGTACTAAGTCAAGTGCATTATGCAACACCATGACAAGGTCCGAAAGAGGCACCCAAACTAGGAAATCCTCAAGAGGAATTTTATTCCAATGAAGCTTCGTGCTTCAAAGTGCCTTAGCCAAGCCAGCTAAGTATAGTCCAATTGGAAACGTTCAACTTTGATGCATTCCAAAGGTGTTTCAAACCCACATGCAAGCGACCAAGTCCTTAACAAACTTTTGTTTAAAATTCACTAATGACGGACACACAATTTGAATTGGAAGAAAGCCCTTTCTCAACAAAACATTGTAATCTTTAAAATCTTCATCTCTAGAATGGGGCAAGCTGAACGAACAAAGCAACATGTTATTCGAAAGAAGGAAGGCTCATCTAAGTCAAAGCTCCAAAGAACATTCCAAACAAGGTTTCATAATTTCTCATCCTTAATCTGACCAATGCATAATGGTGAGTATGGAGTAAAACATTTTTCATGGGCTTAGACATGGTGTCAAAGAAATGTGGTTCTTCGAGTATCACAATGAAAACCCTTATGAACACCAAGCCTAGGAGGTAATATTTTTTCAAATCAATATTACCTAGGGGAGCTTTGAGCTCTGTCTCAGGCCTGCAAATTTGTTTGTGTTTTACTCTATTACTCATTACTACAGGGTTAGATTTATTTTGGAAAGATTTTGTCCAATTAAATATTATTCCATGATCAGGAAGCAAAGAATGAAAAGTTTCAAGTGCTTTATTCTAACAAGATTAATGACTTGAATAAAATCATAATTTCTCATAAAACATGTAAATTATCAAAGTTCCGTGAACAGGCAAAATGACTACAATTCTCTGGGGGGAGACAAACCCCCACCCTTTAGCATGCAAATTTTCTTAAGGATACTATGCAATTGATTCAACTAGGATCATCAACTCTAATGAGGGTCAATCTGTCATTAGAAGCTCTATTCGAACGAAGAGCGAAGAGGCACCAATGAAGAAGAACTCACTGAAGAATCTCAACACTCTCCTAAAGTTGAACACATATGCTAAAATTGCAAGGAGAATGTTGTCGATGGTTCAGTAAGGGATGAATGCTATGGAACACATTAAAGGAAATAAAGGTGACTATTGAAAGGTTCTCTATTTCACTTGACTTTGTTTGTAATGAAAGTGTTTGGGCCCGAAATAATATTGTTGGGCCGAGCAGAAGGTTGTGCTCGGCCCAAGGCTGTGTCAAATACTATGGGCCGAGTGATAAAATCTGGGCCGGTTAACAGGGTTAGTTGAGTCCTATCCTAAGAAGGAGTAGTCCAGATGAACAGAAAGGGTCGAGGAAGTCCTGGTACAACTAGGATTCCCAGCCGGCAGAGAATAAAGCCTCGGAAGAGGGGAAAATTCAAAGTCCTAGTAGGAGTAGGTTTGTTCGAAGTAAAGTTGGAACGGGACAAGGACTCCCAATCCGAATAAGGGTGCGATTCGGTCTCAAGGAATGAGGGTTATAAATACGAGAAATCACGCAATACAGAGGACCTTCGATTCAACATACAATTGCTCTGCGCAAAAGCCTCTCAAACACCTTGAGATTTTTTTCCTGTTTTTTTTCTGCCCACACACCTTCAGTTTGGATAAACAGCATTGTGGGGGCACCCGGCGAACACCTTCAGTTTGGATAAACAGCACTGTCGCCGTAGGATCAGCCGACCAAGGAGCAACTTCAGTTTGGATAAACAGCACTGCGTCGAGGCCGACTGGTTGCCTATCCAAGTCTCGGCTGAAAAGGGTTTTCGAATCCTTGTTGGCAGAGGTCACCTTGTTAGCCTTCTCGGCGTAGCAAGGTGTTACGAGTTCGTTATTCGGCGTACTGGACACCGAGTAATTTTATGATTGGGTATTCACAAGTGAGTTTCAGAGTTCGACATTCTGACGGCCGAACTATATTCACCATCAAGACATACGTCACCTTTGAGTACTTGTGTCCGTATAGTCTGGTGTCAATTTGACGTGCTTATACTCTCACGAATATAATCACGATGACTGAATCAGGTGCTGACGATTTGTGAACTTCGCAGAATTAGCAGCGTTGTCTTCAGGCTCTAGAACCCAAAGACCGAGAGTGTTCCTTCCTCAGTCGCAGTCGCAAGAAAAAGAAGTCAACAACACGCTCAACGCAACATCAATAAATTTTACTCCTCGGCCGAGCTCGGCCGACGAGTTGGCACGCCCCGCATTCAACCGAATGACGTAGTTAGCTTATTAGTTACTCGGCCTGCGCGCCACGTAGGTTTTTGTAATTTATAGGGTCAACATTTTGGCACGCCCAGTGGGACCCTTGTGCTAGACCTTCGAAATTCATGACCATTGAGACACGGTCCGTAAAGAAGAAAACAATCATGGGAAAGTCAACAGTTGACTTACCAGTGCAAGAACTTGGACAGGATTTACACCCGGTGAAAAATCCAATCGTTGTTGCGCTACCTGAGGCTACAAGTGCGACACGCCGAGAGAATGAAGTCTGTCTCGGCGGACAACCTCGCAACCCAGAAGTTCCTAACCGCACAGCAGGCATGTTCGTTAAAAGAATAGTGGAAGATTGCGACGACAATGGTGGGGAGGGTTATGATCCACCAACTAGGTTGTTTCTTCGGAAACGACTCGATGAACAATATCGATAGGTCAAGCAGTCGATTGGTCAGAAGATGAACGATTTACTAGATGCAATACGCAGTAACAATGACACACAGACCAGGATGCTTGAAATATTGGTTAGTAAAGCCTTTGAAGATAGCCAGGTCGGCCAACCTCAGCAGCTTTCTACAAATGTTCCAGTATAAGTCGGGAAAGGGTTCGCCCGGCCACAACCAATGAACTTCGAAAGAGGTGGATCGGGCAATAGGTCCGACGAACCAAGCCAGAGAGAAGAAGCTGCTTCCGTCAACATGACTGAGGTCCAGCGAATGATCGACTCGGCTCTAAAGAAGGACCGAAGTTTCCAAAATTCATCCATCCATACCCGGTTTATGTGGAAAAGTTTGAATACCTGTGAGGTTTCAAGATCCCTGATTTCAGTCTTTTTGCTGAGAATCGTCTTTATCTTTATTAGAACATGTGACTCGGTTCACGGCGCAGTGTGGAGACATCAATAGCGACTTCTACAAATTAGGGTTATTTAATTTTTCACTGACAAGCTCAGTTTTCACTTGGTACATCAATCTCCCACCGAACTCTGTAGAGAATTAGGAGGAATTGGTTGAGAAATTCCATAAACAATTCTATCGGCCGGGGATGGAAATGTCCATATCATCATTGGCAAGGATGGCTCAAGCGTCCGACGAATCTCCGATGGAATATTTAACAAGGTTTAAGTCAGCCAGGAATTGGTGCCGAGTACCTCTCCCTGAAGTGAAATTCGTCAGGATCGCCCTAAACGGTTTAGACGTGGAATACAAAAAGAAGTTTCTGGGGGCGAATATTCGAGATATGTACGAACTGGCCTAACACGTTGAGCAGTATGATTATTTGCTCCGAGAAGAGAAGATATCAAAGTCACCATCCAGGGGAATGTTGTATAAGAATCCCACGGTTAGCTATACATTGGCCGAAAGCGAGGATCCTTAATATGCCAGTGTGGACGCGGCCGAGATAGTGATAGATAAACCTTACGTCTGCAAGGCGTTAGCTCAAGTTAGTTCCAAAGACACCAAGACCCGTTCGGCCGTCGAGGAGATGAGTAAAACATCAAAAGTATACACTTTCGATATTACCAAGGCCGATGCAATTTTCGATCAATTATTAGGAGCAAAAATCATCAAACTTCAACCGGGGCACAC